TTCCTCCCGCTGGCAGGTCCCACTCTTTCTCTGCATTCGGGGCGCACTCAGGGCACGTAACTTACAAATACAGTTTAGTGGCTAGTCATCTACCGATCAAAGTTGTGGCCAAATTAGGTATGTTTTAAAGGTTAAACAGAGATATATTTTAGATAGATGTTCTCCATACACTACAGAGAACAATAGAACATGTATATTTTTTAAATAACGTAAGACTTTTCATGACAGTGAGGAACCGTGAAGCGTGCGCTCCAAGGCAGTTGCTGCCAGGACCCACTCTGAGCCAGTGTTCAGAACCCCGGCTCATGTGGAGAACAGGGTTACCAAAAAGGGCCACTATTTGCCTCCCTCTGTTCTTCAGCATTGATATCTTACAGATATTATATGGTTTTCAACTTAAAGCACCCCCAAAACAGGCCGTGTCATCCAAACCAGATTGAGTAACCAGGCGGATAAGTCACGGTGCGTCCACTAACAGACGCTGCGCGGGGTTGCACAATACCAAGGGAAGTCTCCACACAAAGGAGCTCATCCAGTCCGTTTCTTCTGACTCATTTCCTCTGGAGAACTTACTCAGAATAATTATATTGGTAACAGGAAGCCATCAGAAAAGCAAAAGAGGAACAGCAAAATCACTCTGCCTACAGGGCTTCTGCAGAGGGTCAGTCGCCCAGTGTGGCTTTTAAGTTCTCATTTAGAAAGGAAGGGAGGAAGCCCGGATCCTTAAGACTTTAAAGAAGGAAAAAAAATCAGAGACTAATTTAATGCTCTTATACACTAATTAGAAAAAAAAATCACTAGCTGGGTAGTGGTGATGCACGCCTTTAAACCCAGTACTCAGGAGGCAGAGGCAGGAGAATATCTGTGAGTTCGAGGCCAGCTTGGTCTACAGAGTGAGTTTCAGGACAGCCAGGGCTGTTACATAGAGAAACCTTATCTCAAAAGAAAGAAAGAAAAAAACCTAAAAAAAAAGAAGAAGAACTAATAGACTAAACATATCTGATATGGGAATCCCCTCAGTATGCTGTGAATATGTTTTATTGCCACTGGTTAATAAAGAAGCTGCTTCAGGAGAGAAATAGAGAGAGAGAGTAGGCGGAGTCAGAGAGACGCCACATAGCCAGCCGCCAGCACACCAGTACTGATAAACATCGAGCCTCATGGTAAAATATAAAATAATAGAAATGGGTTAAGATATACAAGCTAGCTAGCAATGCGCTTAAGTGATTGAACAAACAGTGTTTCAATTAATACAGTTTCTGTGTGATTATTTGGGGTCTGGGAAGCCTGAAACGAACAAGCAGTTTCCGTCTACTATAATCTTTAATTTTTAAAAAATATATCACAAAAATACACTGTTTTAGTTTGCTTTGTATTGCTATGATAAACACTGTGGCCAAAAGCACTTTGAAAAGGAAAGGTGCCAGTCCATCATCAAGGGAATTCAGGACCAGAGCTTGAGGCAGGAATGGAAGTGGAGACCGTGCAGGAATGTTGCTTACTGCTGGCTTTCAGGCTTGCCTTCAGTCACGTATCTAAGGCCCACCTCCCTAGGGATGGTACTGCCTACAGCAGTCTGGGCTCTCCTACATCATCAGGAGTTAAGAAAATACCCCACAGATATGCCCACAAGCCGATCTGACAGGGGCAGTTCCTTAGCTGAGGTTACCCCTTCCCAGGTGTGTCAAGTTGACAGCCTGTCACAGCTTGGAAAGATTTTTATCTGAATTAGATTTTACAGCTAACTTTATCTGTTAGATACAGTCCTGCTTTGCTGTAGCTGGCTAAAGGGTGTGGACTCATGACGGGTGGGACACCATTACACTCACCCCAATGGGGGCGACACGAACCTGCCCCGTTTTCTTGCCTTACTGAAAATGACCTACTAGTTGAGAAAATAAAACCAAAATAAAAAATGGTTAGTGTCGGATGTGGCTTTCCTCAAGCTGGAGCGAATCACTGGGGCATGCTCTGGCTCCCTGAAACACAAGGTGAAGAAGGCACAGGGCAAAAGAAGATCCGTGGAACACAGCAGGAGGGACGGGAAAGGAGGGGAGAGAGGAAAGCAAGGGAAACAGACAACAGCAAAGGGGGAAAAATAGCCAGAAGCAAGAAGGGAAAGTCATAATATTTACATAGACTATCTTGTGTCAAGATGGAAAATGACTCTGTTTTGTTTCAAATCTAAAGTTAAGCCTAAGATGGAAAAAAAAAAAAAACCCTGAGTAATGCTGAGAACAGGAGAAATAGTCTTCCTTGGGGAAGAGCCCAGTTGGTTATCCTATACAAGAGCTTAGTCCTGAAATCATATACATACAGGTAACATTATAGGGACTGAGCAGGTTGTATTTATATATTTAGGAGTGTGTGTGTGTGTGTGTGTGTGTGTGTGTAAGACCAATCCACACTGTGGATGTGAGAGAGGGCAAAGAAAGTACATAAGAGGTGTTGGAAGGAAGACAGTGAAGAGAAATTCTTTATTATAATTCCAAAAATTTTTAAAAATTAAAAACTGAAAAATCCCTTATAAGCGTAAAGATCTATTCCTTAAAGCAATTCACAGGTCTCTAAACATGCTAAGAACTATTTTTAAGACTGCTTTAGGACAGGGGCTACAGTGTCAGCCACCCAGTCCTCCCTACAATGTGGAACTAGGCTCGCTCTCCAGCACCAGTAAGATCAAACAGAGGCTGGGGACATAACACTGAGATCCTGAATTTGCCCAGTGCCCATAAGGCCATGATTCTGATTACAAGCAGTGTCAAAAGGGGGTACAAAAGTAAAAACAGGGCCTTAGGAGCTCAGTCCAGTGCTCCAATGTAGGTCTCTGTCTCTATCTCCACCCATTGCCAGATGAAGGTTCTATGGTGATATGCAAGATATTCATCAGTGTGGCTATGGGAGAAGGCCCCTGAAGAGCAGGAGAACATGAGTAAGGAAGTCAGGACCGCGTGGGACTGATCTAACGGGAGCTCACCAAGGCCAGCTGGACTGGGACTGAATGAGCATGTGATCAGACCGGACTCTCTTAATGTGGCTGATGATGAGGGCTGACTGAGAAGCCAATGATAATGACACCGGGTTTTGATCCTACTGCATGTACTGGCTTTTTGGGAGCCTACTCTGTTTGGATGCTCACCTTCCTAGACCTGGATGGAGAGCGGGAGGGCCTTGAACTTCCCACAGGGCAGGGCACCCTGACTTCTCTTAGGACAGGAGAGGGAAGGGAGGGGGAGAGGGGAGGGGAAGGGAAATGGGAGGATGGGAGGAGGTGGAAATTTTTAATAAAAAAAATGAAAGAAAAATGTAAGGCAAAAGAAATACAAAGATGTAACATTCAAAAAAAAGGTAAAAACAGTCAGAAATCAAATTGACTACATTCCAAGGTAACCCAATAGTTTAAGATGGTAGACATATATATTCCGGTTAATAAATTATAAATAATGAGAACATCCACACTTTGTAACCTCCGTCATTCAACCTATGTAGGAAGTAAGACACAGACACAGTCACAGAGAGCAATTTGAGCACACCTCTGTGTTACTGACAAAGCAGCCCAATAAAAGGGCAGTGGCGTAGATCTGAAATGCCACTATCAACCAACCATAAAAAACTAGGAACCACGAGCCATGAAGATCTGGACACACTGAGTGTCATCTAGGCATCCATCTGTCTGTCATGGGAGTTCAGGGGTTCCTCAGGCTCCATGAGAAGGAAGAGAACATGAGAATTTGCATTTAAGTCAGGGAAGAGTGGTTCCCCTTTTATTCATACCGTTTTCCCGTCCATTTCCAACATGACTTCACATACACGGCCTTCTCACACCCCACCCGAACCCTGGGAAAAGGCAGCCTATGTTTTCTTGGCCCCACTTTACAAAGTTGAGGCAGACACACCAAAGTAACAGACTCCCATGCTGCGGGCTAGACTTTAGCATATATATGTTAGATAATATATATATTATTATCTAACTAGGGGAGTGAGCAGGAGGGGAAGTCCCGGTTTTTTTGTTTTTTGTTTTCTCGAAAGGTAAATTTTCCAGTATACAAAGAGCCTTGGTTCCCCAGTTAACAATCTGGCTTCATTTGAACATATTCTCCCAAAAGACATCGTCAGAAACTAGGCTGGACCACATAAAAACAAAGCCAAAGCCACTAAGAGTTCATCTACTAACCAATGTCACCTTAAAACATGACACTCCTCAGGGGACCTCCAGACAAACTCAGTGTTGGATACATTTCCAGTTACCCAGAATTCATCAGGCTATGGTTTAGAAGTAACAGTCAGAAAGGCAGGTCAGGGAAAATGTGCACACTTCCTCTGCAATTGGCAAAGCAGGCACTACAGACCATCTCGGTCCTGCTTCCAGAGAGCGAATCCCAGGAACACATCACTTCTTGACTTGAACCAACATATGGGCAGCTTGTATCTGTGTGTATACGTGTATCACCGCTTCCCTGGAGGCCCCCGTCCTGCCTCTGGTCACCCCGACAGTGTAGCGCTTTCTCCTGCCATGACTTTTCAGCTGCAGTCTGGCTCAGACCCGTGTTCTACGGTGCCCAGGAATAGTAGAAGACTTCAGACCTACCTTGGGAAGCAGAGCAGGAAGAGGAGGACGCAGATTTATCCCCAGAGGCCATGCCTGTCAAACAAGTCAAAAAGTTGGCTCCCCAGAAGCACAAGAGCTTGGCCAAGGGGAAAATAAATGCTAGAAGAAAGGAGGCAGCAGGGAGGCCCTGGAAGGGGAAACCATCACACAGACCTAAGAAGCCGGTATCGAAGAAATGAAGAGCTCACCTTGGCACCTCCTGTGCCCAAGGGAGGATGCCCACCAGCTGTGCGCTGGTCCAGGTGTCTACACCTGAGTCTAAATGTAACGTGTGTGGGGGTCCCACAGGAACCCACAACCCAGCCCTCCTATCTCAGGAGGCTCTTGGAGAAGAACCCTTCAAACATGTACACAATAAGATTTGCTTGATCAGAAAATACAGAGAGAGATATATAATTATAAAATTTTATTGAGGAACTTCAAAATTAAAGTATCAGTACTCTTCTTTGAGGGTCCTCCTGTACTTCCTGACAGCACACAGGGACTTAGGAGTCTGTGCTGTCTCATTAATATTCATATCTGCTTTCTGTTCTTTGTAAATACCTCTTGTATTACTCAAAAATATGCTTAAAAATAAATATACAATTCAAATATGTATACATTTGACAATTTTAAGTATGATATATATGTGTGTGTGTTTTATTTACATTCCTCCATGGTCCACTGAAGTCTTTATTTTTTTAGGTACCTAGGGAGCCATATCATTAAGGCTAATGGTGGTTTTATCCAGAAAAAAAAATACATACCAAGAGTAATTTTTCAGGTTTTCGGCAAAACACAAGAGGAAGGAAAATGATTTGGTTCTTAATTCCAAATGCTTTCAATTTTTAAATGTAAGGTCACTATTATAAACATCTGTATTTGTATAGAACCTGGAGAAAATGCAAACTTTAAACTTTCTGTTTAAAGAAAACTGGCTTAATTAGCTTATGCGGAAGGGGGAGATCCAGAACACTAGCCAGTGACTCTCCTATGGGAGCCAGCACTCGCCCGGGCCTTGGAGGGTTCCACGGCTGCTGGTGTGGTCATCATGCTCTGTGGCCACCCCTTAGGACAGTGGCTCCACACGATCATGGCGAAAGCCTTGCTCTGACAGGACATTTACGCAGCTCTGAAGGACATACCCAGCAAGTATGAAGGACATAGCCGAAGGTGACAGCTCGATTCTTGGTGGTTTCTTTCCCTTCTGAATCAATAAGCTAGAAATTATCCCCACGTGGCTCCATCCGCTTCCTGTGAACACACACAGGAAGTGCACAGAGCAGCCTGTCCCCAGATGCATGGCACTGCATCTGAACATAATCGCAGAAGGCAATAAACCAGGTCCAGACGTGCTGATGGGCTGACTGGACTGGACCGTGAAGACAACTCATTTGTAGCAAGCACGAAGTATCAGGACCATCATTTTGACTTTATAAAAGCTGTGCTGTGCGAGAAACTAAAACATGGCTACAGACACATGGCTGCGAGCTTTCTAAACCTGAGAGTAAGCAGACATGAGAAAACACAGTTCGGTAAAGCAGCGACATCAAGCGTACCCGGGGTACCCGGGGTGGAGAAAGCCTGCATGAAGCCTTGGCTGACTCCAAAGAGAATAACACAAACGTTCTGAAGATAAGAGGAAGTGTGTGACAGCCACCTGAAAAGAGCCTGTGACTGGTTATTGCCATGAGGGTCAATACCAACCAACCAATCAGCTCCACTTCACCACCTGGTGAAAATTCCTCACCCAGATTCTAATTACAGTATAATACTAATTAGATTACTTGTAAAACTGGTTAATATGGGCGTTGATGAAGGTGAAACAGTCCCATCTGATGTCTGATCCTGGCTGCTCTTCAGACACACAGAGAGAATATGTTGAGAAGTGCGTTAGGGCACAATGTTCAGAATAACAACAAAAAATCTAGACAGATACACGACAGATTCGTTAACTATTCCAGCTACACGAGACAGGAAAACCAGGCCATGGGGATACACAGTAGCCATGGCACTTCCTAGACGACTCTTTGGAGATTCCGTTCTTGGTCTTCATTGCTTCTGAAGTGTGCGACATGATTCGGGCGGAGCTGTCTTTAGCTCAGGTCGGAAAGAAGCATGAGTGAACGTAAGTTCTAGTCACAAACCACTGCTGCCCTCAGAGCAGCTAAGAACACTGCATCCAGTCTGGAGAATCCTTGAGCAAGCTCCTGCTAACCTCTGGATCCAGGTTTCAGACTTGCAAACACTTTGGGGTTCTTAAGGGCAAGGGAGAGTTCATTGAGGAAGGAAATAAAATGGGAGTCTCTCTCGGATTTCTTTGACTCAAAAATGACAACGATGGTGAAGTGGGGCTCTGGGCGGGTCAGGAAGTAGGTGCTCTGGACTTTGTCGTCATAGAAGTGGACCACTTTCTCCAAGCTGTTCAGGTCGGATGTCCGGTCTGTCATGATCATTATGACATTGGGCCAGTGCATGACAGGCCTGTCACTGGGCAGAGACACTACGGCTGGGTACTGGTCCACTCCCTTGGGGGCCTCTCGGTAGGAATGTGGGTGATGGTAGCCATGACCCTGAAAGCTCTCTGAGCCTCGGTTGTCAAAAATTAAGGACACATTGGCAGCATCGTATTTCCTGATGAAACTGGAGATCTTTCCAAAGAGGTCTGGGTTAGCCTTTGCCGTCAGCGCTTTCATTTCTGAAGCGGTCGTCTGTCGACTCAGTGCCTCGTGGAAGTAAAAGCTAAACTTGGCCAGGAGCATGGTTTTGAGTTTCATCAACCAAAGGAAGAGGTGTGGGGGCTGAACGGCCTTCTGGGACTGCCCTCCGAACAGGTGCTTCTTGGTCTCCCGCTGCTTCTCAAAGGTCTGGCCCCAGCTCTGCAGCTTCGTGTGAGCGTTGTGCAAGGTCACCAGGGAAGGCAGGAACTTCCACTCGGAGATCTGGGCCTGTGCCCTCAGGAGATGGCTCAGAACACCCACTTCCAGCTGGAAACTGCTTTCCAGAGGGCTGAGGATAGGGTGGTGAAATCTAGAGGGGAGGGGATGGACAGAAATCAGTAGCAATGTTACTTCACAAGGAGAAACCTTCAAATTAACAAAACAGCAAGAGCATAAACCCAGACGAGACCGAGGGACAAGTGACGCTACGCTGGGCCAGCCTGGGCTCAGAGGGTCTAGGGTCGGTGAGTTTGTCTGTTGTTGTTTTTACAACTCGGACACAACTTGGGCAGTTCATCTTACTCTCCTAAGAAAATACCCTTTATTTTGTGGTTTTTCTTTTTAATGAAAATAACTAATTTCTTTCCAAATAAGGAGAAATTACATTGGCTGTAATATTTTATTTACTCTGAGAACTGTATGACTAACACTATCATCAAAACAAGGGATCCTCTTTTTGGGATGTGCAACTAAAAAACAATACTAAGACACCTGTCATCCACAGATAAACTATTTTACTGTCCACAGACCCACTCTACAGATGAACCTCTATCTGAAACTCAATAGACACAGGCATTTAAAAGAACACACATTTACCAGACAACTGTCATCCATTCGACTTCCCGATTCCCTTCATTGTTAACCATGATTCAAAACAAAATGGCAGCCACAGAGAAAAAAAAGCACAATGGGATGCGTGCAGTGAAAAGCAGAAAGGACGGTTGACTGGGCAAAAGGAGACCTCTAGAACGGGGGAGGGGCACAGGTCAACAGAGGGCAGTGGGGAAGGGTAACAAGTTCAAACAAGAAGAGTGACTCCTGCGTAAGAAGATGCCATGATGAAACCCATTATTTTGCAATCAAATCTAAAAAATTAATTGAAAAAAAAAAAGGTGGCCACAAATGAAGATCTAAAATCTTTTAAAAATCACTTTCCTCAAATCCACAGGGGGTATTTAAGACCTGAAGTGTTCTGGTCCTCATTGAAATTGAGTCACAAATTGAGTCCTAGCTACCGTGAAATGACGAGGGCACACCATTTTGGGGGGGCTACAGAGCTGGCTGGAGGGGAAGAGCACAGAGTGCTCTTGTAGAAGACTTGAGTTTAGGTCCCAACACCCACATCAGCTGCCTCACAACTACCTGTAACTAACTCCAGCCCCAGCGGATCCAATGCCCTCTTCTGGCCTCCACTGGCACTGCACTCACATGCACACACCCTCCCCACACGTTACATATAATGTAAAATAAATAAATTCCCACCTATACAAAGTCTCTTAAAACTTCCTGACCATGTGCTGCAGTGACATTTTATACTGTGACCAAGTACTGAGTACTCACACATGCAAATTTACTCCTTACTGTGCAGTGTATCATGATATTTTGTAATATATCTATATCATATGTCACATTTCTAGTTAGTAAATGAATTTATGAATATAAACCGCTGACTGTCATCTGTAAACACCGTTCCACTTCACAATAATACTGGAGGAGGGGCAACAAGATGTGGAAGGGCCTTAATTTTTCAGCAGAGGAGAATGGGCAACTTGAAAATGCTGAGGCAAGTTTCTCTTTTCCTCTCAGGTCTCCTCTGCAGGGTCACCGCCTTAGAGAAATCTGCTCCCAAGCCAGGGTAGGTCCCAGCCCTAGCCACTCTTGATTTTTTAGATTTACTTATTTAATTTTATGTGTGTGTTGTCTGCATTTGTGTGTGCCCCACCTGTATGCTCTGTGTCTGTAGCGGTCAGAAGACAGTGTCAGACTCCTTGAGTCTGGAGTTAAGAGGCTAGTACAAGAAAGACATCATGGAGGTGAGGGGAACTGAGTCCAGGTCCTCTGCAAGAGCAGTGTGCTCCTAACTACTGAGCCATCTCTCTAGCTCCTCAGCCACATTTCTTATGTAGCCAGAGCTCACTTACTTAGGCATGGTTCTGCCCACAGTTGGTTGGGCCTCCCATAGCAATCATTAGTCGTGACAATATCCCACAGACATGCCGGCATGCCAAACTGACCTGGACATCCCCCAATTCAGACCCCTCAGAAGACTCTGGGCTAACAGGACAGCATTGGTAGACAATCCTGCTGCAGATGCTCCTATACTTGTAACCCCATCAGCCCATCCTACCTTTAAAATAGTGCAAGTTAAAATATGTTGGATGCCCCTAGCCTACCAACCATTGTAGTTCATCCTGCAATAACTATAGCGTCAGCTGCGACACCCCATGACTGCTTGGCTGGCTGACAGTGAGGTTGCCCAATGTCACTAGAGCTCTACCTGGGAAACAATCAAAGTTCAAAGTTCCAAGCACAGTTTCTACTGAATGTTTATCACCTTTTCAGCACTGAAAAAAAATCATGAGTCAGGAATCACCTCTGATCTTCCTACCGCTTGCCCCTAGAAATCACATTTATAGCCCATGCTCTGCTTCAAAGGACATGAATTCTCACTACAAACCTCAGAGAGTGTGCACAGCGCGTCCACGACACCACAGAAGCACAATGTCCAACACATGTGAACAGCAAAGCTAGTTTTCAACCTCCAGGAAAGCGAGCATTCATACCATCGTCCGTCTGCCCAATGCAGATGGGAACTTTATGATGCACTATTTCCCAGCTTCCTCTCTGCCACGTGCCTCACAGCTACTCCCAGCTCAGTGGCTGTGATCCACAAACATACACCTAAGTCAAGGTAGTGAGCTTGGAAGTGTCTGAGACAGGAGACCGCCAACAGCTTGTGGAGAACACTGGCTCTAAGAGCATGGGAGGAGGGGAGGACAGGCAAGCAGGAAACAGGGGGGGTCCAGAGTGAGGGAGAGAAGGGGAAGGAACAGAGGGAGGAGGACAGGCAAGCAGGAAACCAGGGTCCAGAGCAGAGAAAGGTGCAAAATAGACATCTGTGCTAACGAGAAGCAAAACTCTAGAAATGCTACTTCCGTACTCTACAGACCTACAATGTGGAGTTCCAAAAGTATGCTGATTGCATCTATGACAGTCAGAAGTAAAAAAATAAAATCAATCTACACAAATACACATTTAAAAATGATGAAAATGGGAAATTTTATGTTGTGTCCATTTTACTATAACAGAAGAAATCTGCAGTCCTTTCTCACTTAAAGCCACTAGTTTGCTGCTACTTAGCTACCTCCCCACTGAGGGTATTCTAGTCTCCCTGGTCCATAGATCCTCTGTTCCTAGTTCCATGGGAGACAGTAATGAACATAGACATGGTAAAGTTTACCTTATAGGTTAGACACAGTAAGAAACTAATAATTAATAATGAGTTAATTATTATTCATTATTAACAATTAGCAATTATTAACAGTATAGAATCATTATTAAAATGATGCTGTCCCTCACTGATCTAGGTGTTCAGCAGCTTATACAATACGGACCTACTGGACAAGGACCACATCCACAGGGTGGCACACACACAGTGTGTGTTCATGTGTATACATGTTTGGATGCAAATACACAAGTGTGAACACTGAATGTCGAGGTCAGAACACAGGCTTGGGTGTCACCCTTCAGGAACATGGCCTCCCTGTTTTTAGAGAGATGAGTCTCTCAGTAGCCTAGAGGTAGCCAAGCAGGCCAGGCTAGCTGGCCAGTAAGCCACAGGGATCTGCCTGTCTCCACCTCCTCAGCAGTGGGATTCCAGGTGCACATGCCACTGTGCCTGAGTGTTTTTTTAATGTGGGTTCTGGAAATGGAACTCAGGTCCTCTGCAAGCACTGGACTGAATGAATTATCTCTCGAGCCCAGGCATGCAATTTAAAACTTGTTAATTTCTTGACTTGCTGAATTTCAGCTAGTGGATGACAAGCAGGAGAACCGCTCAAGGGGGACTACTGTGCAAAGATGGGGTCAGAGGGCTGCCCTGTAAGATCTTCCATAGTGAGAGGTGGTATTTGTAACACACACAGCAGAAACTCACACATTTAATACGAGAGACACAAAATACAGGGGATTGTTAGCCAGCCTTACAGAAGGAAAGAACACTGCCACGTGCTTGAGCAGGGATGACCTTTGAGGGCAGCACACCAGGCCAAATCATGTCAGTATGCAAGTTCCTTGGAACAAACTAACAGACCTACGATAAAGATGAGAACACGACACTGGGTGCTGAAAACTAAGCTCAGGTCTTGTGAGAGCATGAGAGCAGTGCATAACCGCTGAGCCCTCTATCTGGCCTCTGCAATTAACTTCAGGGCTGGAGAGTTGGCTCAGAGGTTAAGAGCACTGGCTTCTCTGCCACAAGACCCAAGTTCAATATCCAAGTTCAAATAATCGGACACTCTGCTTTGGTTTCCTGGCTACCCGGACCTAAATAATCACACAGAAACTATATTAATTACAACACTGTTTGGTCAACAGCTCAGGTGTATTTCTAGCTAGCTAGCTAGCTCTTATATTTTAAATTAAAACATTTCTATTCGTCTATGTCCTGCCATGTGGCTGTGGCCATGGCGTTACCTGATTTTCTATATGTCGTTTCCTAGGCGGCTGGCAGGTGACTGGCCTGACTCCACGTTGTTTTCTCCTCTATCTCTGCTTGGATTTCCTATCTTGCTATTCTGCCCTATTATAGGCCACAGGAGGTTCTTTATTACCCAATGGTAATAAGACATATTCACAGCACACTGAAGGGAAGCCCACATCAAATACCCACATGGTGGCTCAGTTGCATGGGAATTCATACCCTCTTCTTGCCCTGTAGGCACCAGGCATGCACATGGTGCACATGCATACTGCAGGCAAACCACCTCTAACACATACAAAAACATCCAGGAACTAAGCACGTAGGCATATACCCCAATCTTAGCACTGGGAGGGCTGAGGTAAGGCTGAAGGAAGAGGACGGAGATCTGAAGGCTAGCTATACAGTTTACACAGTGAAATTCTGCCTCGAATAGAACACACACACAGGAGGTCATGTCTGTAAGCTCAGCACTTGGAAGCCTGAGGCAGGATTCATATGAGTGTGGAGAGAAGCTGGACTACACAAAACAAGATTACATCTTGACCAACTAAAACAAATCAAAAAGAGGGAGGGGACAAAACTAATCATAATGTCTGGGGCTCAAAGCACGCAAGCAGGCACAATGTGGGTTTATGGAGGAAACAACCCTTACTCCCCGGAGATGAGTGTAGGGAGTGGCTGTACTGTTACCTGACAAACAAACTCACTTACTGAATGCAAAAGTCAACAGAAATAAATTAATGTTTGGACCAAGTAGAGAGCATCTCAAATTTTATAAAAGCAACAATGAATACAGAACAGAACATAGGCTCTGCTTCAGTCTGCTAGGAAGGAGGGCACACGCTTGTCCTGAGAGAGGCCTCGGGTCCAACCTCTAGCTCTAAAAGCAAAAAGAAAGAAAAATATACGGGCTCTGAAGTCAGAGGGAGGTGAGTTCTGAGCCAACCGCTTCACTACTAAGTCTTCAAACAAGGAGTGCCACCTCCGCCTATGACTGAAGTCAGGTGACAGGTGAGAGTCACACAATGCAGGTCCCCGACAGCGGCTCAACAGGGGCCACTTCCCTGCACAGTAGAGGACTAGAGCCCTGTGCTGCACGCTGGCGCAGCCTTTGATCCCAGCATGTGGAGTCACAGGCAGACAGAGCTCTGAGTCTGAAGCTAGCCTGGTCTACATAGAGAGAACTTCTCTCCAAAAGCAAACACAGAAATAATACCTGATATAAATACTGCACCCTTTGACCTATAAGTTGCAAAATCAAATTATACTTTGTTAAGTAAATGACATTTTAATCTGGAAACAATTTAAAAACTGGATGGGTTTGCTTTGACTCTTTCCTTGATTTGGGGCCGTTCAGCTGAGCTTTAGGACTCTACTTGGAATCTGCCTGTTGAATCTCACTTGAAACCAGCTACTAACAGCTTCACCTCAGATTCAGCTCACCACCTTTCCTCTAAAGCACTCCAGCCCCTTTCTACGTGTCCATCCTGTCTGTGATGCCAGCACAGGGCACGGGGCCTCCAGGTCCTCTGTGGCAGGAACCACCTAGCACTCCTACCATCTGGCTGCCAAGACTGCTCCTACAGCCGCGGAGCGCCCACCACATGCTGGGCACCTACCCCAGCAGCCCACCTACCGCCCGCCCCTTCCCACCCTACACCCTGGTGGTACAGTAATTAGCCTAAGATAGAGATGAGAACACGACATTCCCCTGTTCACAACCTTTCATGGTTTCCACTATTCACCAAATTGGGCAACTTTCATCCTGAACACAACTATTTACTAATTTGCTCAGTGTTTTCAATTGAGTAGCTGCCGTACAGTGGCCACTGCTTTAGGATTTCAAGCAGGTGGCATCTTGTTCAGGAACCTTTTTTCAAAATCAAACCAATCTGAATTAATAAACCCTAATGTGTAATATCCTTCAAAGGACATCTTTCTAATCCAAGTAGTAGCTACTGTGCTGGACTCCAAGGAAGCCAAAATAAAACTAGGCCCTCCACTTTGGTGATGTTCTTAAATTCCTGCGATTCTTCGGAAATTGTTTCCAGGCCAAGCGGTGTGCAGTATATCACAAACAACTCCGTTTCTTTGTAAGGAGCAAGTTTCTTCAAATGTAACAGTTCCCAGTCAAGAAAAAAAAAGTGGCCGGGCAGTGGTGGCGCATGCCTTTAATCCCAGCACTCGGGAGGCAGAGGCAGGTGGATCTCTGTGAGTTCGAGGCCAGCCTGGTCTACAAGAGCTAGTTCCAGGACAGGAACCAAAAAGCTACAGAGAAACCCTGTCTCGAAAATCCAAAAAGAAAAAAAAAAGAAAAAAAAAGTAAGCTAAATTGGCCTCAAAATAATTTCTTACCTATCACAAAGAACTAAAGTTTGTCCTTCAACAGCAATGCATGCCTTCACTAAGATTTGAAACCAAAGCCACAAGAGAAGAAGATAGAAGTTCATTGTAAGAAGTGCGTAGTAATGACCACAAGAGAGTAACAGGGAGAACTCCCAGGTTATTACCCAAAAAAGAGCACTTATTTGACTAGTAGCCGCTCAATCACATTGCTCTCCATGCACCTGTGTGTGCGTGCAGGGTGTGTGTGTACATGTGCCTTGGTGCAAAAGCCAGAGACAATATCGGGCGCCCTGCTCTATCATTCTCTGCCTTGTCCCTTGGACATGGGATGTCCTGCTGAACATCAGTAGTCTTCCTGTCTACGACAGCCACAGCACTGGTGTACGGTGTGTGCGGTGTCTTCCTGTCTACGACAGCCACAGCATTGGTGTACGGTGTGTGCGGTGTCTTCCCGTCTACGACAGCCACAGCACTGGTGTACAGTATGTGCGGTGTCTTCCTGTCTACGACAGCCATAGCACTGGTATACAGTGCATGCAGTGGGCCCCAGCTGTCTACATGGGTGCTGGTGATCAGAACTGGCGCTCTTACCCATGGAGCCATTTCTCTGGCCCCAAAGTAACAGTTCTACTGTGAGAATCCTGTATTTCCTGAAAACATACAGAGGGGGCTGTTCAGCACGGTTAACTGAACCCTAAAGTGACAAACGGCTGCCTGCTGTTTAATGAGCACATGGAAAATAGGGTACAGGAACCTTCCTGAGAGTTAGGGAACACATGAACTGGAGAGATGGCTCGGAGGTTAGCAGCACCGACTGCTCTTCCAGAAGTCCTGAGTTCAATTCCCAGCACCCACATGGTGGCTCACAACCATCTGTAATGAGATCTGATGCTCTCTTCTGGTGTGCAGGCAGAACATGCAGACAGAACACTGCACATATAATATATAAATAAATGTTTAAAAAAAGAGCGAGGGGAAATCCAGAGCCTGTGGGCTGACAGACTCTCACACTCTCCACACTCACCTGGAGCTGTACTTCTTGAGGATGGTATCCAAAATACCGACCAGCTCTTCCGTGTTGATGAACTTCTGCGTGCTGAGGGCGTACATCTTCTCATAGAAGTCTGCGATCTCCATCCGGGCCTGAACAAAGAAACAGAGCTGCTCTGACAGGTGGGGCAGCAGCTCCTCCACATGAGGAGCCGTTCCACTCGGGGCACCTCGGCCTGTGGCCACCTTCTTCAGCTCGTTATGCAAGGACGTGTAGATGGTGCGGATGGAGTCCTTCCTGCTGAAGAACGACTGGCCTCCTGGGAAGCAGACAGCATAAGCACGTGACAGGTGAGGAAGGGAGCAGAAGGACCTGGCACCTCCCAGCCCCCACATGGAAAGGGCTAGAACCTGTGGAACTCAGCGAGCTTGGACTGAGGATTGGGGCGCGGACACCCAAGTCAGCACCTCACTGAGGAACAAGTCAAAACTGAGCACTTGCTACAAATTCATCTCACTCATGTATCAACTCCCCTCTACTCCACTCCACGGACATTCAAAACTTCTTTAGAATCATTACCCTGAATCTTTTTTTAAAAAGCTCTCCTTTTTTATAGATACTTTTTTAAAAAGGAGAACACACAAGGATTATCAAACACTTCCATTGTTTCCTCTTCAGAGGTGCAATTGTCTTGAATCTTATCTTTCAGGCTGTGCCAGGAAATGAGAATGAATGCTCACACATCTTTTTAAAAAAGAACACACACTGGGATCTTGAGGCAGGGGACTGCAGCGCTCTTGACAAGGCTGACAATGCAGGCTTCAGAATAAGCACCACACTGTGAATTATTAAGGCCAAGAACCAATTATAAGTAACCGCTGCTCTGCCGCCAAGGAAACCTGCGCAGGCATCAGAGAGGCTACATTGTTGCTGATGGTTGAAAAGGACCAAACAGCAGAGGCATCGTTTACCTACTTGTGACTTTGTATATGACTAACTATGTTTCTTAAGCATTAGATCCCCCATCAAAGAGACAAAAGCGAGACTAGTAAAATGAAAAGAAACAGGGAGAGCTGACAGGGCAATCTCTACAAATGCACAAAAGCCTCAGAGGCTTTTGTTACGTTCAGAGCGCTTTCGTGAAATGAAGTTATTGCTATTATAAATCTATTAAGATTGAAAGTTAGAAGGAATTTGAAAAATATCCGCTTAATTATTTTTTCAGGATTTTTTTTTTTTACTTCGCTTCTTGGCTTATGTTTCAAGAAACGAACCTTACACCCCTTGTTACCCAGATGATCCAGGTTTTAACACCAAAAGTCTGATCTCCCAGGAAAACCTTCATCCAGATGTTTTGTTGATCTCATTATTGTCTAAGCTGGAAATGAACCGACTGACACCGTGACACAGGGCGCAGCTCTACATCTAAAGGCCCCTGATCTGGGAGCTCTACTTCATTCCGATCCCTAACTCTATAGAAATATTTTCTCTCATTAGCATGGGGTATGGCTATACTAACAGCGGGGATAGTTCTCAGAAGTCTGTCCTCCGTGTCTGTATTCTGATTTTATAGTGATCGGTATAGAACAGTCCTCTGTGCCCATGTCTAGAACAAACATCCCCTACATTAGGAAGGTAGTAAAAATGTCATACAGAGATGGTTATGACAGCATACACCTATAACCCCAGACCTCAAGAGACAGAGGCAGGAGGATCCAAAATTCAAAGATCCTCAGCCACAAAGTGAGTTACAGGTCAGGCTGCACAATGGGAGATTCTCTGTAAATGAAACTGCAGTATCAGAAAGCATCATGCAAAAGCCAAAAGCTTTACAAATCTAAAGGACAACTTCTAGTTCTCACTGCCAAACTTAAATGCTGTGTGATATTCAAACCACCTAGCTCTTCTGAGCTTTAAATGCTGTTACCGTCACCATAAAACCAGAATTGTTGAAAAGACAGAAGAGGCAGCACTTTGAACAGGCCTGGAAGGAAGAATATACTCAGTCTTGCTGGTCCCTTTCTTTCCACTTTATAATGGAGCTTGGGAAATTCTATGGTAAATTACTATTTAACAGGCAGATAGGTGACCTTGACTCTACACCCGCTATTTAAAAAAAAAAGGTGGACATAGCAAAATTTGAACTTTGCACCGAAAAAGTAAAGCCTACCCTCATCTGAACACAGGGGAACAGAAATACAGCATAAACGCAAACAATACCTTTCCAGGTCTACCCACACCAGTCACCAGCAGGGAAATACTCCAATTCCAGCTCTTTTCTCAAAGCTTTTGGCAAAACAACCCCATCTCTTGACTCCCTACCCTCTAATACCCAATAAGGATTAGCCTTCCTTCTTCCTGGGGAGCAACAGAAACACCCAACTCATTTACCTTTCTAGCACTTTCAATTTATAAATTAGGATGCTTCAGGGTTTTTTCCAGAATGTTCTAGTTATCAACGGCCATTATTTTTTCCAAGATTTCAACCTTTTATCTCATATGAAATTTAAAGCATAAAGAACATGTTAACCATGCTGGGCGGTGGTGGCACACACCTTTAATCCCAGCACTCGGGAGGCAGAGGCAAGCAGATCTGTGTGAGTTTGAGGCCAGCCTGGTCTAACAGAGTGAGTTCCAGGACAGGCTCCATAGCTACAAGTTTTCTGAGAAACCCTGTCTCAAAAAAAAAGAAAAGAAAAAGAAAAAGAAAGAAAAGAAAAAAAGAAAAAAAAGAAAGAAAAGAAAGAAGAAAACCATGTCAAGCATCCTGAGCACTGTCAAACTTTGTTAAACGTCCTTAAACTCCCATTCTCGAGTGGCAGGGAGGTAGACAGTCTCAATCCTTCACTGTGTCCACTCAGCACATTTTAATCACTGTTCTTTTCCCAAAATTTTTCTGGCCTCAAAGCAAAGATAAGAGTCATGCCCAGTTTTTCAGGACTGATCCACGACAGTGACAGAAGACTCCCCTCAGGTTTGTCCTTTGGTTAAAGGCCCATGCTTGCATTTTAAATCAGGACCAGCAGCTGGAACTTCAGACAGAGGTCAAAGACTTTTTTTTTCTTGCAGGCGAGGTCTCACTTTGTAGCCCAAGCTGACCTTGAATTCTCCACACTCCTGCCTCAGAGTGCAGGGATTACAAGCACGTTGTACCTCACACGACACCGGTTTAGACTCACTCGCTATTCGCTAACCCAGTAGATCTTACAGAAAGAATGAAGAGGTAAGATACATCAACCACCTTGCTACAGTGGTCGCTTCATAAGGTATATCAAGACATCAAGTTGGAGAGCCTGAGACTATATACAATTTTTACTTGTCTATTATACCTTCAAAAAAATGTAAAGACTTATCAGACCATGCTTCTTTTTGTTTTGTCTTTCGAGGCAGGGTCTCACTATGCAACCCCAGGTGGCTTGGAACTTTAAATGAGGTGGCCTCAAACTCACCTGTGCCTGACTCCTGAGGGCGGACTAAAGACATGTATCACCACATTCCCAAACCATGTTTCAGATTTTTAGAGTACGCATAATTGTTTCACTTTGCTTAACAAAGAAAACCATATGAACATGGTACATGATTACAGAACATGGTACTGCTTTAAATAACATTTTTTCCGTTCTCTGATCATCATAAAGTCCAATCGCAATCACATTTGCATCACTATATAAATTCAAACATGTTAAAGTTTAAATTTTGAAACAACTATCACTTGAGTGTGTAAGTCAGTAAGTATTTAAACTGACATCTTCAGAACATTATTAGATGAACCCTAGAGTCCCCAGGCATGTTTCACAGTGTGAACTGGTATGTAGTCAGTCAACCTCAAGCCAGGTCCCTGCGGCTCACCTACAAGACAGCTGAGGTTCAAGCAGAACTCAGCACTTTACATAATAAGGGTCACTTCATGGCAGCCAACCAATGACAGTAAAGGACTTCTAAATGTTCAGAGCCGATGTGCCCAGCTCTCTTTATACAGAAACCTGGTGAATATGATTTAAACTTAGTGCAGACTTTATTTGTTTATTTTTGCTGGGATCCACAAATGGACTTCAGGAAACCCAGTTGTTCTCTTATTCTCTCCTTCCGGTTATAAATATACATATATTTGGGGGGGGGGGGCGTAACTTGGCAACTTTCAATACATTCGTATGGATGACCTCAAACAACAACAAAAAGTTAACAATCAGGACATTTGAGTCAATATTCACTTTTTATAGGTAGGGAAGCCTAAAACAACCCACACTGCCAGAATATTATGTACTTTCAGTGTTACAGCTAAAATACATATCATATACATATCATATACATACACAAAAATAAAGTATATAAATTATACTACATGTGCAAGTTTTAAATAAATTATATGTATACATCTGATCTGATAACTCGAGGCAGGTGTTCAAGTTTGAGATCTATCACCTACAGTTACAAATGCATGCACAATTCACTACACTGTAGAAAACGGAATTGTAAGACGGCACACCAACCGCACATTTGTGTGAGGTAACACTGTAGAGAGAAAACTAAAGAGGGTGAAATCCCTGGGTACTTTCTGCCAATAAATCATCACACTAAGTTACAAGTTATCTGGAAAGCTACGTAAATTATAATCTCAGGAAGCCCTTTCCCTTGAGTGCTTACCAAGCGTTCAGTTAAGATCCCTGGCAACAGAAAGGGATTAACTCTGTGTAACTGGCGCTCACTCTCACCTTAGTAATCTTTTATGGCGTGGATGTGTGCCTTCTATTCATGAAAGGACCTTGAACTTTTAATAAGTAACACGTCAAAAAGCCGAAGTGCTAAATCTAGCCCAATCCTCTGGAAGGCAGCTATCATTTTCCATTATTATTATAAATAATACTTTGAATGCATAGCCCTTGGCTTTTATGTATTACTTCCTTATCAACTGATACCAATTGTTTCTTGGGATGATCAGTTAAGAGTTCCTGCCGTCTTGTTTTCAGGATTAAGATTTACTTGAGGACGAGCAGTGTTTCCTGCCCAGGATCCACTTACTCCTTCCTTTCCTAAATATGCACTGAGGTACTACGAAGAGGGGACAGGACGCCACTTGTGTCAGAGGCCCGACAAAAGTCGTATTTATTAACATAACTAGGTTCCATGGCCTGGTTTTACTCCTCAGTCCACAGTGTCACTAGTTAGAACGGGGGACGCAGAACTTGGTTAACTTGTCATTTATGAAACCGATCCATGCACGCACGGTTCAATAAACCCAAGGGGTTTGGGGCATGCCTAGCAAATAGCATCCACCCAGTCCACCGAGGCAGCAGCGGCGGCGCAGGGAGGTGGGCGGGGCTTGCGGCAGCCGCGGGAGGGGGAGGGGACGGTGGGAGGAGACCTGGGCAGAGCGGAGCCCGCGGCTGGGAGTGACAGGGCACCCGGGCCGCGGCCGACCGGGGAGCGCACCCCCTTTCCTTCCTCCTCAAGGGGCGGGGGCGGGACGGAGGTACCTAGTTTCTGCCCCAGGTAGGTGAGGCTGTGATAGACCTTCTCGGCCGCGGCCAGATGCGCCAAGGCCGCCAGCAGCGACAGCCAGCTGCCCCCCGCGCTCTTGTTGGCCTCTCGTTCCTTCTCCACATTGTCCTTGGCCTTGTCGTAAGAGAAGATGCCGAGGTGAGAGAAGAACGTCTCCAGCACCGCCTGTTCCACCGGCACCGGGGCGGCTAGCGGGATAGACTCCCCCATGCGACCTGCGCGCCAGCCTCCACCCACGTGGCTCCGCTCACACTTCCGGGTTCCGAGGGGACGCGCCTGCGCTGTCGCGTACGTGCGCGCGCCGGGGGCGGGGCCGGCGAGCTGTCCGGCGGCGGGTTGCTCGGGGACCTCGCGGAGGGTGGAGGAGGCTCCCTAGCTTGGCAGACAAGAGACCCGCTACCGAGCCTGAGGCTGTCACTTCCAGGCCCCGTGAGGTCTCCTGCACCCCTGTCCCCTTTGAGATCCTTTAGCGCGGATGACGTCACGCGGGCTTGACGTCAGCTCTTGCGTGGACATCGGAGTCCGAGGCCTGATCAGCGTTTACACCGATGGAGGTGGTTAGGTGGAAGCCTGACTGTTGATGACTAGTCGCCTAGTTTTCATCCCTACACACGCCATCAGCTAACACCCGTCCCTGCCAGATCTGTCTGTGTGGGCCCGCCTCCAGGGCTACACGGCACCCTTCACCTTGCCCATCCCTCTCAAAACAATGTGAAGCTTCCTGGTGGGGTCCTCAGAGTCAAGGATAAATTCACATAAACCGGTGCAATTTGTCGTGCAGGTTCTTCACAATTTCATATGACATGTTAGGACCTGCAGCTCAGTTCACGTATGTTTGTGTCTGCTATCTTAAAATGCCGCCCATGACCCACTCAGTGTTTTTTTTTCTTTGCATATTTTGTATTTTAAATATACGTGCTTATTTTACACAAGTCACACTGAGTGTAGGTGTGTGTGTGTTTATATGTCTCTGTCCTATCAGTGATGAGCTGACTTGGGCCGAGACTAGAGTCTACCTGCCATTGTAACTGTTCGTAATGGAAATGGGGATGTTTGTTGGACAGTTGAAAGAACTGCCTATCTTCAGGTTTTCTCCCCAAACTACAGCTGTTATGTCATCACTACCTATGTTTTTTTATATTATTATTAATAACAATTACTAATTATTTTCATTGTCTTTGTTTGTGTTTGTTTTGGCTACTTGAGGCATGGTCACACTGTAGCCCTGACTGGCCTGGAAATCTCTTTGTAGACCAGACTGGCCTTGAACTCACAGAGATCGGCTTGCTCTTCCTTAGAACTGCAGGGATTAAAGGCTTGGCCACCATACCCAGCTCATTGGTACCTTTTAACCAGTAACTAATCTAGTTTCATAGACTGTGCATTTGTTTTCTGTCCTCAAGAATGTGCTTGGATAAGTCCAAGCCTTTTAATTGTCTATAAGGCAGGGCTTTATGCTTGACAAAAAGGTAGCTATGGTTAAGGGAGGAACAATCATTTTTTGAGGACTCGGGGAAGCTTCCCAAGAATGTGCTATTCATGAAGAATGGATGAAAATTAAAAGTCAGAGTGTGGTACTGACACCCGCGCCAACAGACAGTGACAGTGTTCATTCCCAGCATTCCCCGAGAACACAAGAAGTCCTCAGGTCAGTGTTCTCAACCTGTGGGTCGCAACCCCTTTGGGGGTCAAATGACCCTTTCATAGGGGTCACATATCAAATATCCTGCATATCAGATATTTACATTACAATTCATAACAGTAACAAAATTACAGTTATGAAGTAGCAACGAGATAATTTTATGGTGGAGTCATCACAACATGAGGAACTGTACTAAAATGTCGCAGCCTTAGGAAGGTTGCGAACCACTGCCTAGATGATAAAGGCAATGTTATAGTCACTGGGGGAAAGAAACTTAGGGAATAGTGAAGGACACATGATTAAATGGGAAAGACTGTCTACTTGCTTCCTGTAACAAAGTGTACATTTAAAAACCATAAACTAGGAAAAGTAAGCATTACTAGGTCTAAAGAAAGAAAATCTTGCAACTATAAATGCATTGGAATAACTTATAAAGAATCAAATTGACTTGCGGTACAGAAAAGTTAATATATTGAAATTAAATATACAAACTAGTGAGCTTCACGCTGACATTTCGTGCATGCATATATTGTGCATTGGCTGTGTCCACCTCCCCTTTCCTCTCTCTTGCCCTCCCCTCCCTAACTCCCTCCCCTTGCACCCTTTCACTCCTAACGGTTCCTCTTCTCACCCTGAGAAAAACAGTGTGCAGGATATGCCAGACAAAGGGCTAATGTTTTAAGTTTTAGTGGACTGAGACCGCTCTCTAGCCAGTAAAAAGAAGAGGCGCTAGATGGCCACACAGGCAGGAGCACTTGCTGCCAAACCTGAGGCCCTGAGTCAAATCCCGGGAACCTACCTGTTACAAGGAAAGTACTTAGTCCCACAATTGTCCTCTGATTTCCACCTGAGCATACACGTACACCCACACACAAAACAAATACATGTCTGAAAGGCTAGGAATGTGCTCACTTAAGAGAAATATAAAACACAATTTTTATGCCCAGCTTCACCCATCAAAGAAATGCAAGCTAAACTACTATATTCATTTGTGGACTATGAAATTAATAAATGAACCTCCTTTTTGATGAAGGGTCTATGTAGACAAAGTTGGCCTTGAATAATCCTATGGCTCTGCCTACTGAGTGTTAGGGTTACAGACAGGAATTACGATGCCCAGACCCGAAGTAAGATTAAAACACTAGTATGTGTTTTTGTAGGAGTGTATGTTCACATGAGTGTGTGCATGTGGTTTGAGTGCACATGTGTGTATTTGCATGTAGAGACCAAATATAATTTAAGGTGTCTTCCTTAATTTCCCCTACCTTATCCTTTGATCCAGGGTCTCTCACTCAACCTAGAGCACACAGATTGGTTAGACTAGTGTGGTGGTTTGAATAGGTTATGGCCCCCAGAGACTCATGTGTTTGAATGCTTGACCCATAGGGAGTTGCACTGTTAAAAGGTGTGGCCTCGTTGGAGGAAGTCTGTCATTGTGGAAGCAGGCTTTGAGGTCTCCTGTGTTCAAGCTACACCCAGTACACAGTTCCTTTTGCTGCCTGTGGATCAAGATGTAGAATTCTCAGCTACTTCTCCAGCACCATGTCTGCTTGCATACCACCATGTCCAACCATGATGATAATGGACTAAACCTCTGAAACTGTAAGCTAGCCCCAATTAAATGTTTTTCTTTATGAGTTGCCATGATCATGGTGTTTCTTCACAGCAATCAAAACCCTAACTGCTGTGGAACAATGATATGTACCCTGTCACTTGTATTTTAAATAAACACTGATTGGCCAGTAGCCAGGCAGAAAGTAGAGACAGCGTGACCAGGCAGGAAGTAGAGGTGGGGTAATGAGAATTCAGGGAAGAGAAAACGTCAGTCTGCAGTCATCACCCAGCCGCAGAGGAAGCCAGACACAGAGCAAGCAAGACATGACCGCCTTGCCAAAAAGGATACCAAGCCACGTGGCTAACACAGACAGAAAGTATGGGCTAATGTAAGTTATAAGAATTAGTTAATAAGAAGCCTGAGCTAATGGGCCAATCAGTTTATAATTAATGTAGACCTCTGTGTGATTCTTTGGGACTTAAGGGCTGCCAGACTGTGTGGGACAGAAACTTCAGACAACAGCCTGAAGCTAGCTAGCTAATAAGTTCCAGGGATCCACCTGGCCTCCCTCACCCAGAGCCTGGGTTAAAGAGATTTGCTTCCAAGCCCAGCTTTGATGTGGGATCTGAATTCAGGTTCTTATGCTGGCACTGCAGTCCCTTTATTGAGTGAGCTATCCCCCCAACATCTCCCAACCGCTGAACCAATCTTCAAGTGCTGACCAGTGTACTGCGAGTGTATTCTGTGAATGTGTGCACTGTGGGTGTGGATATAACTTGGTGTTTCTGTTAAACAGATCTCTCCATATGCAGGTGTACATGCAATACAGTGTTGTTGATAGACACCACCATGTGATGCAGTCTATCCATATGAAGGCTTACACACAATACGATGCTGACAATAGCCACCACCGTGTTGCAGGATCCATCAATATGAAGGTGTGTACACTCAATACAATGCTGACGATAGCCACCATTGTGTGCACTAGACCAGCGTCCACAGAACATTACTCATAATGGGATGTTTCCACCCTTTATCCAACATCTTCATTTCTCCCAACCTCTAAATACTTGCAATCACCATTCTCCTGCTTCTTTGAGTTCAGCTTTTTTAGATTCTACATGAAATGAGATCATAGAGTATTCACCTTCCTATGGCTGGCTTATATTACTTGGCATATCCTCTTCAGGTTACCACACAAATGAACGGTTTCCTGCACAATTTCCCATCATGGTTGTAGCAGTCTCTATTTCCTCCAACAAGGCACAAGAGTTCCCTCTTCTCCCTGCTCTCAATACTCATTATCACTTGTCATATTTATAATAGGAGCTCATAACATAGGAGGCAACATTTTATTTTTTTTAATTTTTATTTTGTGTATGTGAGTGTTTTTATATTTTACTTATTTTATGGGGGTTTACTTATATGTATGTCTGAGTACCATGTCCATGTCTGGTTACACAAAAGCCAGAAAAGGGCATTTGATTCCCTGGAACTGGACTTACACAAGCTGGTCAAACTTGGGTCCTCTACAGGAGAAGTAAGTGCTCTTAAGTACTGAACCATCTCTCCAACCCACATTTCATGACCTTGATTTGCCTTTGCCTAGTTAGTGCTGAGCACATTTATATGTACTTGTTGGGCATTTGTCTTCTTTGAAAAAAATGTCTTTGAGTTCTCTTCCCCACATTCCAACCCTTCTTTGATACGGGCTCTTACTAGGTAACTTAGGCGTGGGACAGCTCCATGAAATCGTCCTGTTGGCACAGAAGTCTCACTCACCACACTTAGCTCCTTTGCCCATTTTTAAATTAGATTGGTTTTTGATGTTAATTGCATGAACATTTATATATTTTAGTTATTAATCTCATATCAGAGCAGACACGTGGCTTGCATATATTTTTAAGGGATACTTTTTGTTTTCCTGATTGTTTCATTGGCTGTGCAGAGGCTTTTGAGTTTGACAAAGTCTTGTTTATTTTCACTATTATTCTCCATACTTTAATGTCCTCACTCAAACAAAAGCATTGACTTCCTGTTTCCTCCAACGAGTTTTACATGTGTGTCTTTAACCGATTTCAATTTTGAATGCGCTGTTAGATAAAGCTATGGTTTTGTTTAGATCTTCAGTTTTTCCAGCACCATTTACTGAAGACATTATTGTTCGCATCTCTGCACGCTTATGTTCTTAACAAAGACGATAGACTTTGATAGACGACAGCCTCCTACTATTATTTGCAGTATGAGGCAGTTAACACAGACTCACGACATGTCGAGGTGCAAAGAGTAAGTGACTGCGGGATGCTCAGCCAG